GGCGGCGTCTGCGCGGGAAACAGCACCCCTCCTGCGGGGTACTTCTTCAAGAAGCGGACGATGCGCTTCAGGTCTTCCACATTGGTATCCTTCGGCTCCTTCGTGTCTTACTCGGCTTCGCCGCTGCTCAAACTCACCGTGGATTGGGCCGTGCCGCTGCGTTTCAGCAAATGCGATCCCCATAATATCGACATTCCGCTTCGAGAACGTCTCGCAATCGGGCCGCCCTCGTAGTCGCTGTCGCAATGGACAGCGGCTTCGTGGAAACAGCACCCTTCCTGCGGGGTACTTCTCAAGAGGCGGACGATGCGCTTCAGGTCTTCTACATTGGTATCCTTCGGCTCCTTCGTGTGTCTGGCCTGCATGCTCGCGCTGTAGCTGCTGTCGGGTCTGTCCATACTCAGGTGCATATTCCTCATGGTCATGCCGCGGTAGGTCTTGGTCTCCTCGTCGCCCAGCTTCGGCGTTCTCCAGCCCCAGGTCCCTGACCGCCTTCTTCGCGTGCCAGGTGTCCGCCTCGAAGCATGCCGAACGCTCGAAAAGGGCCCCAGGCCAGCGCCCGGTTGAGGCGCGCCACGCTCTGCTCCTTCAGCGGCTTGCTGCTCGGGCTACCCGTGACCTTGAATCCGTAGCGAGGCAGCACATCGTCGAACCACTCCCCTAGGACTTCTTCGTTATCGCGCCGGAGTCGTCGCCGTGGACCTCCGCTTGCACGTGGCGCTCGGCATGGTAGAATAGCGCAGGGTCCGAAATGCTTTTCTGGAAACCATGTGAACTTGTCAAGCCTATGTAGTCGTGTTGCCAAACGTGGCTGGCATCTACTGTGCCGCGTAACGTCTTGAGTAGCTTGCCCACCATCATCTCGGGATCGTCGTGGGTCTCCTCCTCGGGTAGCTCCTCGTACACCTCGCGGTTGACCTCGCAATAGAAATGCGCCCTCGAAATGTCACACAACTTGTAAATGACCACCTCGGCGTCGCCATCATGGTCGGCGTTGTTCACGCGCCCCCATTGCCTTGAACGCATCTATCGGGGGTACGGCCGAGACCAGCTCAGCTTGATCCGGTCGATCTTCTGACCTCACCGCCTACTTGATCTCCCTCGCAACCAGCCTCGAACGACATCGTGGTTGAGTCCGTTCGCCCTTGTTCGTCTCGATCCACTGTAGGGTCGCTGCGTTCTTGCCTTTCATGAGCATGCCTCGCTTGGGTACCTTCTGCCATATCTGCCTTCCGCGGCACCGCCCCAGTTCTTCCTGCCTCGCAGCTTGCGCGCCCTCGGAGTGGAGAACGTCGCCCGTGAGATCGTCAAGAAGTAATCGTCCTGGTACTCAGCGAGCACCTCTGTGCACTCCTCGCGTGGATGGGGTCTCTCACAAAGCGTTGCCGGGGTGGTGTGGCCTTCGCGTCGTCGAAGCTTCTCTCTCAGGCCTTTCAATATGGCCGCCACCAAGTTGGGAGGATCCCGCCGCGCGTGTCTTGCGCGTCGGTCGACCAAGTGAACATGGCGAGGTCGTGCTCCGTTCGGACCTCCGGGAAACTCGCAGTAGCCCTCGAGGATCTTGCGAGCAGCTCACTGTTGGTGAGCCACCCGGTCTCCTTCCGAAGGAAGCCCGGCTTCCCGTCGGCACCAATCGCCTGCATTTGCCAGCGGCACATAGGTCCATGGACTCAGAACACATTTGCCAACTGCATAACTTCCTGAACGCTCTGGCGGGGCGGTACCAGCTGCTCGCTGACCAATGTGCCTCGTGACAAAATAACCATCCTGCCTTGTGGCGCTCTTTGCAGGCCTCCATGTTAAAGTTGAGGTGTGTTTCGCCCTCCAGGACTTCTGCCTCCACGATATTCGGATCGCGCTTCCAGTCCGAGAACTTGCGCAGTCTGGTGAATGGCGTGCGCGGCGGGCTAGTGATCGCGAGCAGTGGGTCTTCCTCTCTCAGATGATTATTGCACTCCTTGCGTTGCTCAGGTAGTCGTAGATCCCGACCAGTCTCGATGTCCACCGCCAGGCTGTGCGCGAGGCCGTACCTTGGCGCCATCTCGGCAAACTTCCTCGGCGAGCTTATCCGCGCGATGTCTACGGCACACATCTCGGTACGCGGCGACGCGATCTCCTCAGCCTGCTCTGGGTACTGATCGATGCTGTTGATGTTGGCGTACGAACGCATCTCAAATGTCACCAAACGGTAAATCTCGGCAAACGTGCCGCCCTTGTCGTAGCCGTTGATCTTCTCCAGCAGATCCGCATCCATTGGTCTGCCTTGTGTCGAGCTCGGTCTCGCAAACGACGCCGACGCAGATGCCGCGCTCGCTGGCGATGCCTGGGGCATGGGCGCGTCGACCAGGTCCTCCGCGTGCATCTGCGTCTCCTCGATGGGTGTCCCTCGCTGAAGTACGAGGCGGGTCTCTGCAACTCCGGGCGCTGTCCTTCCCGGCGCATCTCCTCATGCCCGGGTGGCTCGCCCAGGATCGGATGCGACAACTCGGCGCTTCTTGCCAGCGCTCGGGCTGCTTCCGCCGCCTCCGGCAGGCGCTGCTGCTATCGCGGCGCCCTTCGGCTTTGGGGCGGGGGCCTGGCCTCCGTCTCCAGCTGCCGGTTGATCTCGAGCACCTCGGCCAGGCACCGGTTTTTCCTCTGCTCGAAAGTGGCGCTCGGTAACTCGCGCCCTAACCCCAGGGCCGCCCATCCTCAGCTCCGCGATCCTGTCGCGGCACTCCGCGCTGAGAAACTTTCATTCTGCGTCGAATCCAGACGCTCGGGGAAACCTGAAGTGGCTCCGCACTTCGCAGCGTCGCGGCGCAGGATGCACCTTGCTCGCGGAGCTCGCGGCTCCATCCTCGCGGTAGCCGCCGCCGGCGCGCGCGCCTGGGTGGGCGCCTCCTCTCCTGGGCGGGTGGCCCAGGGAACTCCTCGAAGAGCGCCCCAGCCCTTGTCGTCCCAGGCCCGCTCCTTCGGCAACGTCGCGAAACCGTGGGCCTTCTCCGCGCCGTCGACCGCCGCGGCGAGCAGGGCCACCGTCCGCGTGTGGTAGCCCAAGAAGTTCCCAGACATCATGCGCTCCTGCATGGTGCTCCTGTGACCTCCTGGCGCGAGCGGCCCGCGCATCGCCCGCTCGCCGACCTGCGCCTCCAACTTTGTCCAGTCGCTGCCTGGGCGCCGCCGCTCTCCAGTGAGACGTTCGTTTCGCGTCGGTGCCGGCCGAAACGGGCTGCGGCGCGCCGCGGCAGCCACTCCAATGCGCGCCATCCACCTTCTTGCCGAGCTTGGCCTCCAGCGCGCACCTGTTCGCCCTGACTTCTCGCGCCTCACCTTCGATGCCTCCATGGCTTTGGCGTTCTCCTGCTGGCGATTCTCGCGGCGGGAACTACGCCGTCGAAGCCGCCGCCGCAACCGCCGCCTTGAGAGCCGCGATCGCGGGCTCCCCGTCAATCTGGAAGATGGGCCCGCGTTTGCCGAGGTGCCGGATGAAGCCCATCAGGATCTCGATCAGGCAATTACTGACCTTCTCGCGTGGAATAGCAGACGAGTGGGGCAATTTCGCCTCGGTATCTCTGGCCACTCGCATCGGGAAAATGCCCCCCTGGTCCTCGCCCCCACCGCGGGTCTTCTCGCCCGCGAATGTCAAGTCGATGGCCGTGACGGGGTCTGCGCTTTCACGCGGTCCAGCTTGTAGCTCGCGCGGTTGTCCGAGTCCTCTGGCGGCGCGGCAAACTTCGCGCCGATCTCTGAACGCGGCGCGGCCCGGAGCTTCGCGTTGACCCACCTCGGCCCGTGTCGGTGGTTTCGTGCGCCCCTGAACCTTTGCCGGCGCAACTTCCTCGGGGCGGCCGTCGTAGTCTTCGTCACCCCTGATCCCTTGGCCGTCTTCAGCTTCTCGGGGGGCGGGATCTCGGCCCCCCGCAGCTGCCGCCGTCGGTCTCGCGGTCGGCCCCAGCGGAGGCGCGCCCGGCAGCTGCGAGGGCCCGCGCTCGACGGCGCCCAAGGGCAGAGGTCGGCCGCCGCTAACTCCGACGAGGCAGCCGGCTTCGGAACGTCTACCAGCGCGTCCATCTTGTAGACGCCGCCCTGCAGGTGCAGCGGCGCGATGCCCTCATTCTCCTCGGCCACGTAATGGTCGATCACCTGGTGGATCCCCTCGGCGAACTCGCTGTCCTTCAGGATGTGGCCACCGAAGGCGCCGATCTTGGTGAAGTGGCTTTTCGTGGCAATAGCCGAGGCAGACAGGAGCGGCCCCCCGGTGCTCGCGCGCCTGCCCATCAGGAGCACGCGCTCGTCGCGCCCCGACATTCCGATGGTGTCGATGCCGCCCTCGTCCTCTACAATCTCGCCCGTGCCCGCTCGGTGGGAGCTGCCGTCGGGCTCGCTGCGCTCGCCCTCCCGCGCGAACGGGAAGGCTGTCGCCGCGGCGCTGGTGTCGTCGGTCATAGTAATGTTCTCGCGGTGGTGCTTCGCGTCCTTCGCCTCTGCGCTGTTCTGGTCGAGGACGCGCTCGAAGGCGTCGAAGCCCAGAATGGCAGCCGACTGGTTGCACCTGCCGGCCTGCGGGGCCGAGGCGGGCAACTGCGCGCTGGCGGTGCTCTGCGCCTCGCCCCCGAGGTTGCGGGGGTTGCATCGGCGAAGGCCGATCTGTTGGCGTGCTCGGCCCATCGCGCCCTCGCCGTAGTTCTTGGCCGTTAGATTTGCTCGGTCCCTTGTCTTTCGGCTTCCAACAGTTAGCAGCTCGGTGACCTTTCTTCCCGCAATTTCTGCACGTTGAGCTCGGGTCGTTCGTCGTACCTCTGCCGTTGCCATTGTTGTCCTTGCCCTTGCCTTCGCCGTCTCGCCCTTCGCCGCCCCTCGCGAGCGCGTCGACTTCCATCGGGCCCCCCCGAGCTCGACCGAGGGCCCCTTGGGCTCGTCGAGTCTCTAAGAAACTGCTGACCTGGTCACGCATGGACGGATAGTCCTGGAATCGGGTCCGGTTGCGGCGCGAGACTCTCGAGCGCACTCATCTAGACCTCATCGTCGAGGCGTGCGTCTCGCCCGTCGGCTCGTCGCCTCTCGCGGCGCCTGATCAGCTCTTCCCACTTCGCGATATCTCCGGCCAAGTTCTCAAGCTTCGCGACCTGGCTGGGCGCCATGATCTTCGTGAGCAGCACTCGGCGGCGACCGCCGCTTGTGGGGTCCCAGAATCGCGCCAGCAGACGCAGGGCCCCTGCTCCATTGCCTCGGCCGGCACTTACCACTAATTCGAACGACTCGCCTTCCATGGGCGAAATGAACGCCGCATAGGGCTGCGAGAGCTTCTCGTCCACCTCGCCGGCTTCCCCCGCCCATGGTCCGCGACGTCTATGGACTGCGCCGCCGCCGCCGCGGTGGTGATCGTCACCGAATCGTTGGCCTAGTCAGCGGCCAATTCGATCGCTGGTCGGGCGTTCACCCCGAACGCTGGGCACATAGCTGTCGAGCTTCTGCAGCAACTCGCTGAACTTCGAATCTTCGTTCTTGAAGGCCTGTGACTTGCCAGTGTCCTTCGCTTGGATCAGCTGCGGCGCCGTCGGCATGGGCGCTGGCGCCGCTAATTTCCCCGCTGCCTCTCCGAGCTTCCTGGTGAGCTCAGGCGCGCCAGCTAGCTGCATGTGTTGTCGTTATGCGCCCTGTCGTTGTTGTTCCCCGATAGATTGCTGCGCCTGCTGCGCCGCGTCGCGCGTCTGGTCGGACGTGCCTTGGTTGAGCGCCATCTCTCTGACCGAGACGTTCTTCTCTGCTCTGGTTCCTTTCGTAATTCGATTCGTTTCCGAGCTGGTGCCGATGTCCTTTCAAGCGGCTGATGCGGGCCGCTTTCTCTATCAGGCGCCCTCCGCCCCAATCCGTATCCGGCAATTCTTGGAGCTCTTGTCGTTATCCGCCGCTCCGTTCCTGTCCGCCCTCTGGTGGCTATCGCGCATGCGCGGGCGCGCGTGGGTCGCGTGCGGCGCTGGGGGCTGGATCTAATCCAGCTCCGCTGCAATTTCTGTCTTTTTTGAGCACGATGGGCTACGGGCGGGCCCCCGAACTATCGAAAGTCTCTCTCTCATCCTGAACTCCGTTGCAGATGGAATCCGAAATTCCTTAGATTTCACTGGATCTCCTGAACTACGCGCTGGCCCCATAGGCAAACCGAACCACAATTCATACACATATATGTATACATGTATATATGTATATGCGTATATGTGTATATGTGTATATTTACACATATGTTAGCCGGTGTGGGCCCCAACAATACGGTTTCTTGTTCTGTTTGAGGTGCGACCCATTTGGTGCAATGTATGCGATGCAACGGGTGTGAGGAAATTTGTGCGATGCGGTCTATGTGGTTCTCTTAATTTCTGTTCGCAGTGAGTGGCCCACTCCACTGTTCGCACAAACGTCCCACCCACCCACCCGCAACTTGGTCTGCAAACCTCGTGCGGAGGCGATTGCGATATGTGCTCGGCGCTGGCTGGCGCCTCTGCGGCCGCGCCAGCCCGCGCTTGCGCGCGCGCGCAGCGGCCGGGTAGTTTGGCGCGACCGACGCGGCCGCGGTGGCGCTGACCGCTCGGCACATCCAGGCGGGCACTTGAGTGCGAGTCGGCGACTTGGGCGGGTGCGGCATCATGGCAACGTCGACACTTGTAGACACGATGATGATAGTAGCGATGTTGGTGACGATGCTGACAACGACGACGGCACGGCCAGTGACGGCGCCGATGCCGATCACGCCAGCGCCGATGACGGCGTCTTCGTGTCGGCGATGAAGGATTTGCAAGACATTCGAATGCGCGCGGCAAACGCGCGAGAGTGGCTCGCATGGCATCATGTAGCATGGGCCGTGCCACCCCAGCACGCGCGCAAAGGCATTCGAACGATTTCGGCATATGCGCGCGCGAAGCATGTTTGGTAGCACGAAATGAACATATTGGACAGCTTGTGGCTGTCGTAAGAACCCGCAAGAACGCGCGCGCGCGCGCTTTTGTTGAACATTCGTGCTGCGAAACCATATGTTTTTGTATGTTGTTCGGACACTCGATTTTGAACTTCTTCCGACATCAAGGGTGTTTGGAGGAGTTCGGCACGCGCGCGCGACGACGCGCGCGCGTGCACTTCGTCAAGTTTGTTGCAAAAGATTCTCGCGACGGCACGCGCGCAAAGGGCGTTCGAACGATTTCGACGTGCGCGCGCGAAGCCCGTTTGGAAGTATGTTCCGAAGATATTGAAACAAACCTATAGTTGCCTTCAAAATTCGCAAGACCGCGCACGCTTTTGTTGAACATCCGTGTTGCGAAGACCCTATGTTTTAGTAGTGTTTTTTCCACACCCGATTTTGACATCATTCCGGAACTTATGGTTTTTTTAAAGGATTTTCGGCATGCGAGCGCGACGACGCGCGCGTGTGCACTTCGTCCACTTTTTGCCAGGTATGTCTGAAAACTCATAATTTTTGATTATCGAATGCGTGCGCGTATTATTTTGTTGCAGAGGATGGCGGGGGGGCGATACCTGCCTGGCTGGGATAGTATGAACTCATCGGTCGGGTGGACATTGGGTCAGAATCCTAAGTGATTTGCATCGGTTCCCGGGGAGTCTTCTATATCTGGCATTCGCACGAATAACAATCGTATCTAATTCAACAACAACAACAACAACTACTACTACTACTACTACTACTACTACTACTACTACTACTACTACTACTACTACTACTACTACTACTACTACTACTACTACTACTACTACTACTACTACTACTACTACTACTAGTACTACTACTACTACTACTACTACTACTACTACTACTACTACTACTACTACTACTACTACTACTACTACTACTATTACTACTGCTTCTACTACTACAACTACTAGTAATACTACTACGAATGCTACTACTATTACTACTACTACGACAACTACTACTGCGACTACTACTATTACTACTACTGCTGCTACTACTACTACTACTACTACTACTACTACTACTACCACTACTCCCATGCAGCGCCCCTCACAGGGGGTAGAAACCAATTGGACCAAGTGTATTTGCTGGGGCGTCACGCTGTCACCCTGCTCATCCTTTCCTCATCATGCTCGTCCTCCTCCTCATCCTTCTCCTCGTCCTCCTTCTCCTTTTCCTTGTCCTCCTCCTCCTCCTCCTCCTCCTCCTCCTCGTCCTCTTCCTCCTCCGCCTCTCCCTCCCCACCTCGGGCGTGATGGACCATGGGACCTCATGGAGCCTCCTGGTAATCCCGGGGGCCTCCTGGGATAGCAACCTCTGGGGACTTCCTGCGGCCTCTTGAAACCTCCTGGGCTCTCCTAGGGTATCCTCAGCCCTCCAGGGGCGTCCGCAGCGTTCTGGAACTTTTGGGTCGCTCAGGATACGCCCGGAGCGTGATGGGACCTCCTGGGGCCTTGTGGGACCTCGCGGGCATCCTGGGACCTCCTGGGGCGTCCTGGAGCCTCCTTATAAGATTCCCACGGCCTCCGGGGACGTCCTGAAAGTTCCTCGAGCTTCCTGATGCCTCCTGAGACCTCCTGGGGCCTCTTGGCGGCTCTCTAAGAAACCACGCGCGGGACTTCAAAATTGGCGACAGTTTCAAGGATGGGAGCCTTCCGTTGAGAAAGAGGGCGCGGTGGACGTTGAAAAATTATGATAATTACACACCTGAGGCCCAAAACCGTGCTGGGCGCCCCCCCCCCGCCCGGTCCTGCAAATAACGGTGCGATTTGCCCCCTCCCCGCTGTCCCGCCGGTCCCCGGGAGGGCTAGTTTTTTGGTTTTCGCTGGTAAGAAACACTTCCCCCCACCTCTCGGCGGTGACGGAGGGCAGGCGGCGGGGGAGAGCGGGTTGGCAGGGTGGCTGGTTGGGCACGGAGAGCAGGCGGAGGGGATCGGCTGGTTGGCGGGATGACGGGGTGGGCGGCTGGGCTGGTTGGCTGACGGGTTGGCTAGGTGGCGGGGTGGCTGGGTGGGCTGGCTGGCTGGTTGGACGGGTTGGCAGGTTGAGCTGGCTAGGGCAATTGGTTTCGACTACTACTACTACTACTACTACTACTACTACTACTACTACTACTACTACTACTACTACTACTACTACTACTACTACTACTACTACTACTACTACTACTACTACTACTACTACTACTACTACTACTACTACTACTACTACTACTACTACTACTACTACTACTACTACTACTACTACTACTACTACTACTACTACTACTACTACTACTACTACTACTACTACTACTACTACTACTACTACTACTACTACTACTACTACTACTACTACTACTACTACTACTACTACTACTACTACTACTACTACTACTACTACTACTACCACTACTAACTACCACTACTACTACTACTACTACTACCTACTACTACTACTACTACTACTACTACTACTACTACTACTACTACTACTACTACTACTACTACTACTACTACTACGATTAACAATACTACGATTTCCCCCACCATTAAAACTACGATTGCTACTGCTACCACTACCGCTAATATTACTAATACTAGTACTCGTACTGCTGCTACTACTACTACTACTACTACTACTACTGCTACTGCTACTGCTACTGCTACTGCTACTATTACTACTACTACTACTACTACTACTACTACTACTACTACTACTACTACTACTACTACTACTACTACTACTACTACTACTACTACTACTACTACTACTACTACTACTACTGCGGCCATGGCCAACGGCACGGGCGGGACGGGCGGCACGGGGCGGCACGGGGGCGGCACGGAGAGGCACGGGGGCGGCACGGGGCGGCACGGGGGCGGCACGGGGCGGCTCGGGGGCGAAAAGCCGGCTAGACCAAGTAAATCCCCCTAGGTGCAAGCACCTGTTTGGGGAATTATATATATATATATATATATATACACCTACATACATGTGTATATATATATGTATATATATATATATATATAGATATATACACAAGATATTGTTGGCTCGCTTCGCTTCGCCCTCATCCTCATCCTTGGCGCAGGAGCGCGATTCTGGGATCTCGCCGCGCTATGTGGTCACAGAATGTGGCGAGCTCGTGAACTTTCATTGCCATATGGGTGTAAACGTGATGTTTGTCGCGAGCTCGACGGCTCAGGGCTGCGTGGGTGTGTGTTTTCGTAAGGAGTGAACATGTTTCGAAGTGAAGAACCACCCGACGGGCCGAACCAATTTGTGGAGCACGTCGACGGCTGTTTTTTTTCTTCGGGGCCCCGGATGGGAGCGTCTGGCGCTCTGCGGGCACGCTGG